TTTCAAATTGAATAGGAGTTAAGAATTAACATTAATTACTATTGAGAATTAATATGTCACATTCAGGGTTCATACATCCTTCTTTTCTCCCTATATTTTTTCTTTCTTAGAAACTGGATAAACTCTTTTAAATTAGGCATTGTCCAGTCATTCAAAGAAAAGACATATTACTTTAGTTCAGACCCTTATATTATTGTTAAGTTACATTAAATGCTTACATTGTAACATTTCCTTGCATTATCGTTAAGTTGATGACATTTTTATAATGCATGGTTCAGCCCTGCTTGGATTGACTTCACTCCTCTGTATTTTACTTCTTTAATTTTGGGTCTGCTTAAGACAACTTCATGTGGTTCCATGTCTTAGGCTAGGTCAACTTTCAAAAATTTAACAGTATGTGCTAGTAATAGTATGATTAAACTCTTCTATATTTTTACAGTTCACAATGCATTAGCCTGTTTAGCATTTAAAAAAATCCATGTCTCTGTTTAATATCATTTTAGATGTGAAAAAAGTATTGTATATTCTACAATCTATCAAATAGTACTAAATCAATACCTATGTTAAAAAAGGTTTTTCATGTGAAGATCTGACTGTGAATACATGTTCTTTTCCTGAGTATACGTCACCTTTAATTGACAATTCAACGATTCGTTTTCCCCTGAAACTTCAAAGTCACTGCCTCCCTGTGTTATTCTAGTGAGTAGTCACCAATAAACCTTCTCATATGGGTAACAAATGGGCATTAAGTTTTCACATCTCCATGATCTCATTCGCAACACGTTATACACCAAAAAGTAGCATTATTTCCCTTGATTCTTCATGTTGTTTTGCGAATGCCTTCATATTTGTTAAGGTTGCAGTCAATTACTACACAATCTGTTTCTTCTATCTGATCTTGTTCTTTTGTATGATCTTTTCCTTGTGTAGATACTTTCAAATTGAATAGGAGTTAAGAATTAACATGTCGCATTCAGGGTTTATACATCCTTCTTTTCTTCATATATTTTTTCTTTCTTAGAAATTGGATAAACTCTTTTAAATCAGGCAATAAACATAGCATTGGAAAGACTATACTGAAATTGTGTTTCTCTGATTTCATGTAGCTGGTTGATTTTTTTGTAGGCTCTTTGTTTCATTTCGTATTTTCTTTTCTATGAAGTGCATCTCATTTACGCTTATTTCTTTCTCGGTTGGTGTAGACTTCAATTCTAAATCTGTCAGTGGTGCTTCTTGCTATTGAAAGTGACTACAAAACTACTCTTTTGAAGGCTTTGTGTTGATTTGTTTTGTAAGGTATGTTTTTTTCTTTTTCTAAACCTTTCTTCTTTACTGATATGTTTTTGAAAATATTTCATGTATTTGTCCAAATTTATTTGGTCCTTTCTTTTGCTATGTTATTTAATCTGGTCTTATCATCCATTTCTTTAGAAGTACTGGTGGTTGCGATCTTTTAGTGTGTTCCATCAATTTTCGAGTAATGGTAACTACCACTGTCCAAACTTTAATGTGTTCAATACATGTAATAAAAAAATTTAGAACTGTAAGAAAATTTAAATGCTACAAACAGAAAAATATAAATATTTCGCCTATTTTCTTTAGTCTTTACATACTCTTCTATAAATATAATGGGATCAGATTATAGGACTTATCTAACCTTTGTTTGTAATTTTATAAATTTGTTGTGAACCTACTTTGTATATCTAGTTCCTAACCATAAATGTAGAGACTATAGACCAGATCATCTTGATGGGTTTTCCAACTTTTCAAGAATTTCAATTGAACTGTGGATTTTTGAGCTTTAATTTTGCATAAATAACATATGTTGTCAATATCTTGGTCACTGTTTTGGAGTTTAGTTGCAAGCAGATCTTGGTATATTTCTCATGTAATCACCATTCGATTCCCTCATTTGCTTTAAAATCATCTGCATAGTTAGTTCTGCCATACATTCAAGAAAAAGAGTAACCATAATTAGATTTACATTATAGGTCCTAACGTTTTTTAAGAAGTAAGAGGTTGTATTAAAAGTTATCATGGAGATGCAAGATAGCCACAAAGAAAATAGTTGATCACTTCAGAATTGCCAAAAAATAATTGAGATCTGGGAGTTAAAACTTATAGCTAAAACTCAAAGTTGTTTAACTAATAAGAGGGAGCTAATGATGTCTATTGGGGAAATAACATCATTTACACAAGATTTTTATAAATAACTAAACATATTATTGATGTTTAGAATGTACATTCAAAAGTTATTATTTTTGAAATATTTTGGTCTTTTTACTATTTAAATGTTGAATTTTTCTTGAATTGCTAGATTTTTGTCATGTAATTTGACTATTCAAATTTGTGTAACCTTTTTTTTACCATCTTTTGAGTACCTGGTTGTTATACTAATGTATTGTTATATCTATTTTACATGCATGAAGATTATGGCACCTAATAAGCAATGGATGGAACTTATTAACGATAGACTTGCTAATGCTTATATAAATGGGATAGAGAATTTCTTGGATTATGCTTTTACAAAATTAGGAGAACCAATGTTGATCCGTTGTCCATATATTAAATGTGGTAATGCAACTTCTAGAACACGTGTTGTAGTTAGGTCACAATTAATAGTACATTGGATAATACCAAGTTATACTCTTTGGTATCACCATGGAGAGATGTCAGGTGAAGCACAATCAGATTTTGAATTTATAGATGATAATGACATTGAAGAGGATGACGATGAGGATGAAATACATGGGTTTCTAAGAGATTTGTACCCCAATCTTAATGGACATAATATGAATAATAGTACTGGTGATGATCTTCGGGAGGAGAAACCAAATGTTGAAGGAAAAATATTTTATAGGTTATTGAAAGATCTTGATCTACCATTATATGAAAGTGCAAAAGTTTGTAAACTTTGTACTTTGATTAAATTGCTTCACCTTAAAAGTATTGATCATTGGAGTAATGAGTCATTTACGATGCTATTAAAATTTTTGAAAGATGATTTATTGCTTGATGGAACAAACTTACCGGATTCGTATTATGAGGCAAAGAAGGTAATTCGAGATCTTGGGCTTTCTTGTAAGAAAATTGATGCATGTAAGAATGATTGCATGTTGTATTGGAAGGATGATAATTGTCTTCAATCGTGCAAAGTTTGTGGTGCATCTAGATGGAAGGATGCTAAACATAGTGGGGAAACAAAATTGAAAAAAGGAAAAAGATACCATGCAAAATTTTACGTTATTTTCCTCTAAAGCCAAGACTTCAAAGATTATTTATGTGCTCAAAGATATCTCCTTTGATGTCATGGCATCATGACAAAAGAGTTGATGATGGAATAATGAGGCATCCAACTGATTCAATGACATGGAAAAAATTTGATGAACTCCACCCGCCTTTTACAGTTGAACCTCGTAATGTACGACTTGGACTTGCTAGTGATGGGTTCCAACCATTTGGAATGTCGAGACCTCCCTACAGCATTTGGCCTGTGGTACTTGTTCCTTATAATTTGCCCCCTTGACTTTGCATGAAGCAAGAGAATTTTATTTTGCCAATGCTTATACCTGGTCCTAATGGTCCTGGTGATGCAATTGATGTCTATCTACAATCTTTAATAGAGGAGTTGAATGAATTATGGAAAACTGGAGTGGAGACATTCGATGCCTCAACTAGAAAGAATTTTAAGTTACATGCATCTTTGTTGTGGACCATTAATGACTTTCCAACATATGCCAATTTGTTTGGATGGAGTACAAAAGGAAAATTGGCTTGCCCATGTTGCAATAAAAAAAACTTGCTCTACAAGGCTAAACAATGGACAAAAAGAGTGTTGTATGGGCCACATGCACTATCTTCCTCTTAATCACAAATGGAGAAATGATAAAGTGTCAGTTTATAACACTGTTGAGCATAAGCTACCACTAGAAATGTTGTCTGGTGATGATACACTTGATCAAGTTGCTGATTTAGATGGGTTGCCATTAACAAAGGATCCACGAAAAAAGATTAAAATATCGCATAAGAAAAGGGGTGATAACTGGAATAAGAAGAGTATATTCTTTGATCTTCCATATTGGAAAACCTTATTGTTGCGACATAATCTTGATGTGATGCACATTGAGAAGAATATATGTGACAATATTTTGGGGACAATTTTAGATATCAAATGGAAAACAAAAGACACATTAAGTACTCGGTTGGATTTACAAGAAATGAATATACGAAAAGAATTGCATCCAATACAAAATGGAGATGAATATGAGTTGCCGGCAGCATCTTACACATTATCTGTTGAAGAGAAGCAAAAAAAATTCAATTTTTTGAAGAATTTAAAGATCCCAAATGGATTTTCGTCAAATATTTCTCTATGTGTCAACCTTAAGGATAAAAAATTTCGGAATTAAAAAGCCATGATTGTCATATAATTCTACAAAATTTACTCCCACTTGCCATGTGTGGTATGCTTTGCAAATCTGTGTCTGAACCACTTATTGAGTTGTCTATTTTTTTCAAAGTTCTTGGAGCAAAATGTTTGAGCATAGAGGAGTTGGAACAAATAGAAGCCCAAATACCAACAACACTATGCAAGTTAAAAAAGGTGTTTCCTCCTGCTTTTTTTTATGTCATGGTGCACTTGTCTATTCATTTACCTAATGAAGCTAGGATTGTTGAACCAGTTCAATATCGATGGATGTATCCAATAGAGAGATACCTACACTTTTTGAAGTGTTTTATTGGTAATATAGTTCACCCTGAAGGTTTTATTATAGAGGGATATTTAGCAGTTGAATGTGTGACATTATGTTCAAGGTATTTGAAAACAATAAAGACAAAGTTTAATTGTCCAGAGAGAAATTATGATGGTGCGGTAATTGAATCTGATGGTAGTTTAACCATATTTTGTGAGCCTGGAAAAAGTTTAAAGGGTAGTTCACCAGACAAACTTGATTCACATGATTTGGAGGAGGCACATTTTTATATTTTGAAGAACTATGATGAAATTCAACCATTTCTCGAGTAAGTATTGATTAAATCTAATAATTTACTTCTATCTTGTCCATATTTCAACATAAAATAACATGTAGAACTTCAATTCATTGTAGAGAATTTTCACAAATTCATAGTGAGGCCTCTCAACAAAGTTCAGATGTGGAGTGGAATAGACAATTCATTAGTTGGTTACAAAAGAAGGTGAGTAGAAATTAATCAATTTTCTTAAATCAAGTATGTAAATATTGTTTTCTAAAAGGGTATTTGTTGTTGTTAGGTTGCAGAGTTGTACAAACATGATGATAGTAAGAGAATGGCAGATTTGCTATCGTTGTCACGTGGTCCTCTGCCATATGTGACAAGATTCAAAGGCCATATTGTTAATGGATATAGGTTTCATGTGCAAGAGTATGATATATATTTGAAAACTCAGAATTGCGGGGTAGTTGTAGTAGGTAAGACCGGTGAAGAGCAAAAACATATGAATTACTATGGCGAGTTAACCGAGGTTCTTGAATTACAATTTGTTGGGGAGAGAAGAGTGATTTTATTCCGATGTACATGGTTCGATGTGTATGATCAAAAGAGGGAAGTTAAAATGGATGAATATGGCTTTTTAAGTGTTAATCGTCGGCGATGTTTGAAAATAAATGAGCCATTTGTATTAGCCAGCCAAGCATCACAAGTATTTTATGTTATCGATCATTCGAATAAAGGTTGGCATATAGTGCAAAATGTTCAACCTCGTGATTCTTTTGATATATTGGAAAAAAAGGATGATGACTTAGAAGAGTTAGATAACTCTACACAAATGAAAAGAAAAAGAACTCATTAAGGTTTGCAACTTTATCATGCTTGCTTTTACTTTATTAATTTTTTATGGTAATGATTCTATATAGTATTTTCTGTGAAAATTTGTTTAATGATCTTGGTCTTTAATGTTACCTTGATTTTACTAAAGTAGTAATGGTTCATGCGAGGAACCTGTGTTACATGTACATGTGTCTTTTTCTGAATGCGTTTTCAGTTCATATTTCATCTTATGAAAAACTTCCTTACCTATTTGATCTTTTGATTATTATTATTATTATTGTTCAGTATATTATTATTATTATTATTATTATTATTATTATTATTATTATTATTATTATTATTATTATTATTATTATTATTATTATTATTATTATTATTATTATTATTATTATTATTATTATTATTATTATTATTATTATTATTATTATTATTATTATTATTATTATTATTATTATTATTATTATTATTATTATTATTATTATTATTATTATTATTATTATTATTATTATTATTATTATTATTATTATTATTATTATTATTATTATTATTATTATTATTATTATTATTATTATTATTATTATTATTATTATTATTATTATTATT